CAACACTACACGTTGAACATTTTATGAGGGAGAGATGAAGGGGAAAATGGTGGTGTGAATAAATGAAAAGATGGAATAGAATGGTGTGCGCATTGTCTTCGACACTTCCACACGTGCCCAGATACTCTCATCCTGAAATCCATGAAATCAGTTTGTTGCTACCCGCTGTTGCTGCACTCTACTCGCTTCATTCATCCACTCAACAACTCAACTCTATTCTTCAGTTATGCATCCCATCTCTATTTATCATCCAAACATTGATCGATTAGCCAATTATCGGGATATGCGGTACCATATCGGCCAAGCAGCCATTAAGAATCTCATTCTAATCATCTCGAGACCACCATATGCAATATCATTTTCCCCCATTTTCCCCCATTTTTCCACGTTCTCAATTCTCTTTCTCAGGTTTACAAAGCAGATAATTCCGTCATGCAATTAAAATCCTTCGCGATAATTTTAAATTATTTTGAATTTCTTCCGAAGAATTATTACAAACTTGATTTAACTGAGGAATCTCCACTCTCTTAAACAAAAGGAAAAATAGCATTTAATCCATCAATGTTTCCTAAATCCGTAAGCATAAAAAATTGGTGAATTTTGTAATCGAAGAAAATTTTAAAATCCACGTATCTGTTTTAGTCACACAATTTTATCAAGATATTATGGAATAAAACATATGATTTCACGAGATGGAACAAGTAACTATACATTGCGAACGTGAAATCTGGTCAGATTAGTCATCTAAATGGTATGAGTAAGTGAGATGAACGCACTGTGTGTTCGGTGCATGTGTACCCACATATACACCCATACAAATGTGTATGTGTGTGTATGAGACATTGAGAGACAGAGAGAGAACAATTACAAAGGGTACAATACCGCAACGAGAGTCCTCGTGTTAAAATTATTTACGTAAATTGTTAGAAACCCACGGAAGGATCTCATCTGTTTTTCTTAGTTACAGAAATCAAAATATTTTCCAGAAATTCTGAGGAAAATTGTCACAATTCAGGGAACCTCAATTCGCTGTCATCACGGAAAAATGACAAAAATATTTACCTAAATTACACACGTGGTAACAATAACCTTGAATTATCGATACGATCTGGGTATGACCGGCTGTATCCGGGCCGAATAATTCTGTAGATATAACGGCAGATATCAAGTGTTGATATGTAAATGAACGGTAAAAAATATGAATAATTTTTAAGGTATATTTGTTCATGTTTGAACACTGCTCCATTTTAGCCTTCAACTACATTCTATCAGCTTGTGTTATCAGGCAAGAGTACGACATGCAGATATCGAAGTTTTACTGACAGTAACTGTTGTTTCATCGTGCTTACAAATAGGTTTATTAAAATGTCGTTATTTCATTTAATCCAATATCTCAAATTCTGAACATTTTCACAGATATTCTAATGACTGATGAGGTAATGTTCTCCATGATCTCGTAATCCTATTCTAAAATTGTATATGGGAATAAAAATTCGATTAGTAACCACTCGCCGTCAGTTACATTGTGCAGTGTAACACCTCCGCCATTATTGACACTAAAAATTTATGAACCTCAAAACAACTTTAATTGCGAAATTATGATCTATAAAATTTAAACGGGTAAAATATTCACCACCACACAAATTTCTATATTTTTAATTGATATTTACTGATCTGTCTATGTTTGGATGAAAGCTGGATTTTAAGATGAACAATTTTCATCTCTGAAATATTTATTGTCTTCATAAAAGACTTCAATTAAGATAACCAAGTGACAATTCGTTGAAAAATACTTTTGAAAATCTACCAAGTCACGTATAGATAAACTGCAAATAATCATTCACGTAATATTCCTCATGGTTTTGTCGGATTGTGGTATTAAGTAAGCAAACACATCGTTAACTTTCAGAAATTATTTTCATTTTAAATATCTCTAAGACTTGACAGACAGAAGGCACCTCACAGAATGAATATTTACAAGAGACTAAAAAGGTATTACAAGTCAGACCCTGTAGCCCCGGAGATGGCAATATAATTTTCACCCCTTGAACTATTTCCCTTTTCCTTTGTCTAACCCTTTCTGGTCACCACATGTCCGAATATCCAAATATTATACAAACTAAGGAATGACTGTGGGCATTTCCCATGATTTTATAACCACGGAAAATCCCGAAGAAATCCGGCTATAAACTATCCTTACTTAAATGAGAACTTAAAACTCGGAAAGAATGAATTATGTACCTGCAGGAATCCCCGAAAACCAACAGATTTCCTTCCATATCCAGTCACTCATGCATATTATAAAATTTTCAAAGTAATTCCAATAACTCACGGAACTGAGTAACAAGGTTGCACTCTACAGAGAGTTAGTAAATCGAATGCAGTTGAAGTGTCTCCAAATGGTAATCAGTGGAAATTGAAGTAGCTTCTTTCAATCTCCTGTCGAATACCGTGGTAACGGAGGCAACCTAAAGAGAAGAGCAAGAGCTAAGAGAAGAAGAGAGACAGAGAGCTGATGATAATTAAGTTAAGCAAGATTATAGCAATTCATATTGGGATGAACACCCAGAGGCAGAAATTTCTGTGAGGCGTTTATATGTCACATGGAAACTGAGATATTTATGAAATCTAATATGTGATGGCTGTCACTTCAGGGTTCAGGTATATGCCATCCATAGTACAGAGTCTCTCCTCATTTATCAATAATAGTCCATTAGCTGCATTCTCGATTTAGTATAACCTGTCTCTAGATCAGAATATTTCAACCTTATAGAATTTGAATGTCAAGATTACTTAAAGTTTTCTCTCATGTGCATCGTTCGCTGTAACAATTTCTCTTCAATTCTCGTGGATTTATTCTAGAAGAAACGTGGATTCAGAGAGACGAGGAGACGACGACACCGGGTCTCGACGATCGATATGATGAATGCCAAACGTGAGATGTTATTTTAACCACCTAGGAATGGAGGCGCGCATTGCGCGCCCAATCACGGTTGCATGATGTCAATATTTCAATGATTATTCCCATTTTCTCTAAACTCATTTCAAACCCATAATTTAGTAATTCACTTCTGTGTATTCTAAATAATTCATTTCTTTTTTATAAATGGAAGTATTCGGAAGGCAACCAATGAGGTCAGATGAGGGCCAAGATGTAGAGTGTGAGGATAGATTTATTACAGATTCATATAACTCCTTCCAATTGATCTATAAATTATCCCTATCCGAGTAGAAATAAAGAAGCTTAAATAAATAAATTATCTCTGCACTCACTTTATCTACAATAATAAAATTTCTCAGGGGATGAAGTTTGCGCCAAGCGAATCTCTACATAACTTGTCTTTTATCACCAAGCAATTAAATCATGAGTAATTTTTTGGTCTTCTCGGGAAAGTACGTTACATGAAATTTACTTGGCAAACGTAATTACTCCTCAAACAGGACGAATCAGCATTCGGGGAAATCCTGAAAAGATTTCTTTGATTGTGAAGTAAAATAAGTATAAACATACAACACGTGTGATTCTCGATTTAATGCACGCCCGTGCCCATCACAATGATTATCCTAGCTTTGTTATATTCTATGAATTTTCCGAGAAATGAATCTCGTACGTATACGATTCACATTTTCACCCACACACCGTGGCGATAAGACTTCTCTGATTCCTCTCCATCTGCATCTCCATTTTGCAATGCCCGTCTTTCGTTGGACGTATAAAATACCTTTTGTTTCTCGATGAAATATTTCATTTTAAGTCGTGCAGTGCCGCAGAAATATGAGAATACTCCTTTTTCAGTACCTTTATCATCATTCTTCCTCATCTTCATAGATGTGGTATTCCACGTTAATTCGATTTCACCAAGAGAAAAAACACATTAAATGATGATAAAGTCTTGAAATAAATGCCCCATCCAATAACGGTATTCAGCAATGAACAAAAAACCGGTGTCATTTAACTTGCATCTTCCTTTTTCTTGTTTAAACAAAGAACTAAAGTTATTAGAATTATGCCCCATTATGATTTTTTTACTTGTTTCATTTTGTTCCATCAGCCCCTAAGTAATCATCATAACGATATTAAATGGAGGCGCGTGCAGCACGCGTGGTTCATTTCGCTCGTGTGTACATTCGTGTAAATGTATCTATTCTGCCATTAGTGTTGAGTGTATACAGTCTCGCTACTCCCTATGATTTCAATAGAATTCACCTTCCCCTACTACCGAGGACATTTACGTATAATTGTAAGTGAGTGTACCTTTCTCAAAATTTTTCGGTGCTACCGGGCATGAGAATATTCTAGTCTTATGTCCTGTTTCACTTCAGAATTCCAATTCACTTCAAATTTGCAATGAAAATCTCCAGTTGTCGGGAATTTGCACGGCAAAATAAAATCCACAGCAGAGATCGTTCTCCAGTTTTTGCTATTGCTGAAAATCTCTATTTTACGGTGTAGCAATGAAGTAATGCGTGAAAAAAGCCAATTGGAGAGATGAAAAAGTAAAACAGACAAATTCTCCCCTTAACTGAAAAAAAAAGAAAACTTTTGTAAATTGATTTCTCCTTATATTAGAGTAACACTCCATTATTTTCTAGAAAATTCTCGTAAACTAGAAAATTTCATAAATTTTTTCAATTCCTCACGTCTCTCGTACTTACTCCCTTAAAGTGAACTATGAAAAAAAAAACATGGTTCACTGACAGCTAGTTTTTGTCGAAACATCATTTTCTCATATTCCGCCATCTCTGGTCTGTCGTTTTTTAGAAAATGAATGGTGGAGTCCCAGGGGTATGAAATGATTCAGTCAATAGAATAACTAGGAATAAGACGTGTAGTATGCGCACGAGAGTGCGCCGCCATTAATAGGCACATTCCCCCGGAAGTTTTCGACGACGCGATTTCGCCCTCAGCAACATCGTTTCCTCTCCCCTTCCTTTTTTTATTTCTCCTTTTACTTCTCCCACCCATCCAATATGTCGCGTGAGTTTGCAAGCCTTCTATTTTCTCACTCCGCCTTTCCTTGCCAGCTCATGTCTATCCCTCACTCTCCGTTTCACGCCTTCTCACCTCTTATTTACCCGCGATTATACACGTAAGAATAATTCAGTGCGATTTTGATGGTACCTCGATTCCTTACATTTTCGCCCTTGGCAACAGAATTCTAATTGCAGTTAATTACTTCTTCAAGAGATAATCCTGCTGCCATATTTTCAATTGACAAATTTTTGTCATGTTTATGTTGATTCTTTATAGATATTAAGTTGATGGATGGGGGAGTGAAGAACCGTTGAGGTTTCGCCGACAACTCGTCAATAGTTGGAGACGTACACGTAACAATGCAATCTTTCATCCCTCTTCTGGTTGACGCACTGCACACGTTGATGAACTCCAAGTACTTCAGTGCGAGGTTCGAGTTACTATAAGCATGAATGGTACTATTCTCCTGGCCCTGACGGCGCGTCATCAGAGAGCCCCGGTCCTCCCTACCCTCATTCATTGCCGCACTACCTCCACCATTCTGGAAGCCCTTTCAAGAATTTAATCCCCTATTAACCACCCCCCCGGAACCCAAGGTACCTGATTTTTTTTTTTTTTTCAACTTACCCACCCACAGATCTTTTCATCATTTCATTTTACCTTGGGTGCTCATCCTTACATTTTATTTTTCCTCATTGTAAATTGCATAGGCGGATAAAAAGAGGGAGAGGGCACTTTTGATTTGACGTATGAATTGCGCGGGAATTGTATAACAAAGAAGTACAGCAGCGCTATGCGGGTGATACGGCACTGCTATTTGGTACAGTTTCGTTCAACTTACTTTCAGTATGAATAACTGCAGGGTTGTAGTTACTCTTGGGGAGATTCAGCTGATGGTTTTTTAAATTGATCGTCTGACTCACATTTATCTCTAGGAATCCATGGAAATTTGACGTACGCTGTTATAAATGCGGGAATGCAACATGGGATAAAAAAAAATAGATAATGGAAAAATCGAATCCCCTCCGGACGTGGCACCCTGATTTTTCACTGGCGTGTACTACTTATTCAGGTTTCCTGTCATTCCTCATGTGATTCTTCCAAAAAACTGATGACCCGGTAGTAAAATTTAATCACTAACCAGACACTCGAATTATTCTGAAAAAGTTCTCCTTACTCGTTAATATATTCTTTTCTCTACGTGGTCGAATATCGATGAAATTATCACAAATAATTTATCCCCAATATTTTTTTTCTATGGATTTCATAGTTCTATTCGGAAGTTACTCTGCATTGCGTTATTCGTATTTTTCTTGATTTTACGTCTCTCAATGAGACGATTCTCGTTAGGTTGAATAAATTATCCACTGGTAATTCATTTTTTTTTCAATTCAATGAAAAGTTATATTTCTCCAAAAACATGTGGTGAATCGAGATAAGTTGCCTGAGTTCTCTGATGAGTTTTCCTGGAATATTCCCAAAACTCAGGTGTAGAGATAAATTTTTATAATAGCCGCCTTGGCAGTCATGATGCACAAAAAGGCTATCCAAAAAATATTAAAATGATACTTTTTCCAAAAATTTTAGTCTTTATTTTTTTTTTAAATCTCTAGGCCTCAATTTCTCCCAGCGAATTTGAGTTATTCAACACTTAGCATTAGAAATATGACACTAAAAAAATTGCGCTGAAATAGAAAAAATGGTAAAATCAGGATGAACGATGAATTCTACCTATTTATTTTTGTTTGAATGCAGCGGTGGTAGGGTGTACCCCATGCAAGATACGTCCCTGGATACTACAGTCGACGAAGACTCGACTGACACTGGGACTGGGTGGACTGGGTGGACTAAGTGGACTGGGTTTGGTTTGGTGGTGAGTTTGGCGTAGGCGCTCTGTGCTCGAGCCAGCAGCAGTAGCAGCACCATACACACATCTTCGTCAGAAGTAAAAAGTACCTAGCAATTCCGTTGTGGAAATAAAACCTTGCGGAGAGGCCCACTGTTCACCGCTAAATAACTTCTCATTACACCAATATCCCTGTATTTTCATCGTGAAAGTGACGCAATAACAATCATTTATACAGTGATAAAAAGATCAATGAGAAAGAGAAAAAAAATAATGTCTAGTGGAGGCTAAATACACTTGGTCGTCGTCGTCGTCGACCGGTACCCATATAGTGAGTGTCGCCTGTCAGTGAATTGTGCGCGGGCGCGCATGAATATATATATCTCTCTCTCTCTCCCTTCCTCTCTTCCTTTTATCTCTTTCATTATTTCTCAGTAGCTCTCATACCTTCGTGTGATTATCCCACATCCCTTTTAGTCCCCTTGTGTGCACTAGGGCTCTATGTACGTTATTTTCTCAGTTACGCGAGAAAATACCAGTGAAAATGACCACGTAAGTGGAATAAGGTGAATAGATTTCCTCGTACCGCATCTCTCAGATACTATATTTAAAAAAAAGATAACATCTAATCCAGAAGAAAAAACCAAAAAAAAAAAAACTCATCTCGTTCTGCTCGCTCTTTGTTCGCAATTAAAAGCAAATAATGTGCATGTGTGTGCAGTCTATACTCCACAGATAAATATTCGAAATATTGAATTTGAGTGATAATAATAATGCGGGAAGTTGTGTGCGCGCGAGGAATAAAATAAGTGTCGCTCCTTCAAACATGCCAATAATTCAGTGCAACGTCGTCGCAGTCATCGGAGGCCCACGACTTACGCACGGTAAATATCAGCGATATGTATGGTTAAATACACCTACAATCTATTCCACCCTTTGCACTCCCTTTTAACATGAAAAACCTGAAAGGTAAATACCAACAGAATGTACCACCGCGATCCTCTCTCCCCTCTCTCGCCAACCCCTTCCAACCAATAACTAACCACGTAAAACCGCTGAAAATACTAGACACTTAAAAACGTGTGTATGAAGTAATAGTGTGAGTATGGAAGGAAGAAGAATAGAACAAGTACACCGAGTGTGCGCTCCCTAGAAATTGAAATTCAGCAATCCCTGGAAGTAAAAGAATTAATTAAATGGAGATACCTTAAAAAAATATTAATAGAAAAATTAATCACATCAATAGTGGGGTTGAATGAAAAGTATGTCAAGTGACTTGCACCCCTGGAATGATCATTTAATTATTAGATTGATGATATTAGTGATATACGTGGAAAATCACTGATTTTCTTTTTCCCTCGTTTGAGTCTTTGGGAGAGTGCATGTGGCTGAATGTTCGGTGTTTATTTACCCTAGCCGTTGGACTCTGTTGCGAGGGACGGAGGAGATGCGGCGTTGCCTGTCTCTGCTCCGTTGGCTCTCAAAACCTTTCCTGTAAATTCCAACCGCTCCAACTACCTACGCGCCTGCGTCACTGTATGCCACGCTTGTTCACAATATGTTGTAGTACATCCCGCCTTGCGCCAAACTCTTCTATATACCTTCTGTAAATGTGTATGTACTCCAACACTATAAAATCCAACTGGCTGAGTTGATCCGAGTGTGAAACAAGTTGGAGCTGTACATGTATGCGCTAGCCCAGTATTTCCATCCTTCTTTCTCGTCCTGTCATCTTCACTCGCGCTGTACTTGTCATTCTCGTTTTATGGATTAAAAAAAAAAAATGCATTTGTCTTCGTCTGTCATGTGCCACCGGGGGTCACTCGCACGCGCTTTCTATTCCACTCCTTTCGATTCCTCGCCCCACGTCCCTTACGTTCTCCTCGTTTCCCTCGTCCACCGAATATCTCATTCCGTGAGCAAAATACCCCACCTCTCTGACGTGACGTTGTTCGAGGAAGCGAGATGGATGAACCCGGTGGGACGTGTCATACGCGCGTGTATATGTATCTATACCTGATACCCCCAGGTTTTCAGAGAGAAGAGGAGACACATTGAAGAAGCGTTCTATCTCTATAATACACGGGCTCTGTCGTCTATTTATACGACGACCATACGCCAGTCGCATTCTTTTTTTCTTTTATTTTTAAATAGCTTCTCTCCCTTTTTCCCCTTTCCTCCGTGAACTCTGCGCTGCTACCCTGCCACATAGTTTCTACATTTATAAATATACAAACATCAATTGTTATTTTACGCAATTAAATGGGTTCGGACTAGCTCAATATTATTATTACCTCAAATTCAAATCAAATGGTTTTCCTATCGGCAGAACGGATTTGTGGTTATTTAGGCAACAACGGGCTTGATGGGCCTTAGGGGTGAGGGGTTTACACGTGTTTTCATTTGGAGATGGAAAAGATGGAAACATGGACAGTGGTTACACGTCCATGGAGCCAAGGAATTTTCTCACAATGGATTGATCGTGTTAGTGAGAAATCGACGACTCCGCGAGGAGGCGTACCACTACCACCACCTCACCTTCGCGCCGCATCGTTCGCTTACTATACCATCCAACCCTCACTACCATTCTTACTATATATGCGCTGAATTTCATACTTTTTACTCCCTCCTCCATACTACTAATTTCATTTCTCCGCCTGTCGTTATGCGTTTTTTGAGTCCACATGCGTTGAAAAAACACCATGAACACAGAGCAAGAACGATATATTCCCATATATTCCCCATATTCTCATTTTGATTTTTGAGTCATCGAATTTGGAAAGTATATAATATAAATTCCTAAACGAGAATTCGTAAGGAACAGTCTAAAAAAATTACGTTTTGATAGTGCCAGGGTAATAAGTCCTGCTGAGTTAAAAGAATATTTCTAAAATTTTTTTTAGTTCCGTCTAAAATTTAAACAAAAATTCATAAAAGTTCTGAAATAACGGAGTAACATTATCCTCCAAAGATGGGAATTGTCGACTAAAGGAAGAAGGATAAAATCGAAAAATATGGGGAAAATATGGAACAGGAGATTTGATGAAATTACTCGTATTATTATTTTGTTTTAAATAATGACAATCGAGTTATCTTCAATTTGATTGTTTGTCCAGAGGAGAATTTCCTTTCGGGTCTCGAATCAATGGAATTGTCGAGTAAAAGTACTACTACTAGAGAGTGGTAGGGGTAGCACATACTCGAGCGTAGTACTCTCGAGCGTAAATATATCCTCGTTGCACTGGTGGCGTATGCGTGCCTTCTCTCAACTTTAGGTACAAATAAAATATATAGATATACACTGCAACCTCTTCTCCCACCTCTTCTAACTCACTCAATCGCTTAACTTCGCGTTTCTCTTCCTCTTTCCTCTTTTTTTACTACTTACCATTTCGATAGCAAAACATTCAATATTGATTACCAAATATTTCAATAGCCACGCAATAAACTTCCCCCGAAAAATGCGATTACCCCCAATAAGAAATCGTCCAGAGTCTGGACTCCAAAATATACACTCCCCAAATTTGCAAATTTTTAATTAGTAATTTCTAAATCAATCACCTCAGTGATAAAAAATCTCTGGTTTTAAAAAATAAATAAAAAAACTTGTGAATGAATTTTTTGGGGAATTCACCCGAGTGCAGTGTATACCAATATTCATTAATTCAATTAAAAACAATCGAAATTGGTTTATATTCACGGGAGAGCGACTCTATTAATCCATAAAAAATCTGAACGGTTTTGTTGAATTTTTTAGAGATAATATTTTTTTCCAATAATTAGAAAACCGTTGAAATGATCGCTTGCAGAAACTAATCAGTCCTAACTAATTCAAATGAATTCCATTCAGTACATTACAGTTTTATTACAGCACCCATTACACGTACATTTATGCCTGCGTTTAAATTTATCTTTCGTAATTTTGAGGCTGAAAGTCATTTTTTTCGTTATTAATTTGCAATTTTTATTCTCTTCATATGAATACGGGTATCATTCATGTGAGGTGAAACAAAAAAATATAGTGTATATATTTATTTCTATCTGTGAACTGGAGAGAATTGGCATATATTGATTAATCCACCATGGGGAATATACACTCTCTACATGCTGCATATATTATGCTGTCAGTAAAGGGTTAATATTCGACTCAATATCCGATAATCTTGGACAAGCATTTAATGGCAAATATTCATCATCATCGCTTAAATAGATCAGCCAAGCGATTATTGGCTGAGCAAAATTCCACAAGGAACATTGAATCCCCTCCTCCCATTTTTTCTTTCATTTTTTTTTCTCAGCTTGATTATATTATGCTGATTATAATATATAACAGGTTTATTTCATAATATTTACCGTGTTTACTGAATCAACTTGTACCGATACATTCATCAATTATCATGACAATAATGGCGAAAATATTTTTATTTAAAAAAATTATGAGTTGATAATGAAAGTTTTATAATGAAGTTAAAAGGTTCTAGCATAATTTCGCATGTTGTCTTCAAATTTTCAATTATTAGCTCTTCAATTTCATATATTTAATTGTTGCAATTAAAGTCTTGTATTCGCGAAATTCATAGATTTGTATTTGTCAACTTATGTGATGTTTGACAAGCGAGCCTCGCAGTCTAATTCAACCAGCTCGGGTTATCAATCAGACATCACTGGTTTGTCTTTATCACCAACTCTTATTTGTTCTCCTATCTTTATCTGGAAGGCACGATCTATGACATCTATAACCTTGGGATGTCAAGAGCTTCGTAAAAAAGCAAATGGTGATACATTTACGGGTAGAATCCAGTGTTTGACGATAGTATAAATATTCGAAAAGCTATTTCAAATCTTATGTCGCTACCTTTCCAACAGATATGATGTACTGTACGTCTTCTTCAAACGAATCTATTGGCCTTTTCATCGTTATTACTCCATATCGTTATTTGTCATCCAATTATTGCAGAGCATTGCAAAAAAAATGCATACCAAAAAGCAAAAAAAACCAAAAACGATAATTTTATGGAAATTGTTATAAGCAGCGCTTGCATCCCATGGAGATAATCGACAAACAGTTGTTGATTAAAAATTGATAATTACCAGGATATTCAAGAAATTAATTGTTTAGTTTAATTTCATTTAAATTCATGGCAGAACTCACGATAAAATTTTGGGTCAAGGGTAATTTTCCAAAAGTGTTCACACTTTTCGAATGAATATGGGCCTCGGTAATTAATTATTCAATTAATCATAAATATATTTAAAATCATTGATCTGTAAAAGGTCCTGGGCCATACATCGAAAAATAAAAGTATTATTATTATTTAAAATCATTGACATGCAGTATTCTACGGACAATACTAGTTTATCATCTTAAATTCGGAAAAAAATTCTGATTATTCAATCGAGAGATCATCACGTATCCACTGCTTTTATGTAGACAATGGAGTTTAAGGGTGCGGGTCACGAGATTTGCGGTAGTTCGAAAGAGTTTTTAGATAAGAGAGAGACATGTGTATTATATACGTACCGAGATTTCAAAACGGAGAAAAATGAGTCAGCGAGCTTCGAAACGTTGCATTGATTATATATATATTTCAGACTCTGTACACTATAGCGTTATCAGTGAGTTTTGTCTCCTTTATTTCGTCTCTTCTTGGTTCATTCGATCGTGGTAGTCTGATTAACAATCTGCAAACTCTTTTTTTCTCCCACCAACCGGAATGCCGTGGGAATTTTTATTATTAAGTAATAAAATAGTCTAAATCTTTTCCAAAAAATTTTAATCTAATACCTTGTGGTTCCTGGTGACCACCTCCTCCTCCTGCTATTTACATATTACCCCTTTATCCGTCGAAATCCACCCGTTCCACCCACTTCTCCTGACCTTTCT